GAGGAAATAGGTGAGTCAGGGGGCGCGTCTAGGATTTTTTCGTTTTCTTGGGGGGGGGGGGGATGGGGGCTGCGACAGATTTTAACAAAAGGTTAGAAAATTTCATCGACCTTTTTTTTAGGCCGACAAAATTGATTTTCCGAGATCTCTCATATCACTATTTTGCTCGAATTTCCTGTGCCGCAACTAATTATTTGAAAAACGGATCAAAAAGGTGTTTTTAGTTACTTTTTAAAAAGTTTTGATCAAAACATCGCTTTTTTTGGGGCGCTCCCAACCTCAAAATAAGTATATGCCAAAGACGCCTGTCCAAAAATTTTTCATAAATTGATATTTTGATAAAAGTTGTCGGTCAGTTATAAATGGATGTAGTACCAAAAAAAAGACCTTTTGGGTGGCCAGGGTGTCGAATCCATGAAGGAGAGGGGACAGCCCTCCCTGAATCCGCTACTAAGTAAGCTGACTATGAAGCCGTATCATAGTTGGGTTCCTGCACGGAATATATGCTGTTTTTTGGTGTTTTTTTTATGATTGACAGTTTTTTTTTGTGATGAGCGGTAAGTATAGAAAACAATAAAGGCAATGCAAAGTCTGCTTCAAAAAATTTAAGCGGCACACTATTTTAGTGACACAAGTTAAGTGGATAAAAACTCTGAATCTTAGAAAGTACCCAAAGCCTAAGATATTTCTCTGAGAGAATGTATGAAACTCAGCCAGAAGTGATTGATTAGCGTTTTTGATTAGTATGGGAATATTCTGTTCGCAAATTGTTTTTTTTCCACACTTTTTCCTCCAGCGCTTCGAGTTTACTGATTTCACTTCAAAATTGTTAAACTGATCACCAAGTAAAAATTTTGCACTTCTACTTTGATTTCGCATTCCTTCTGTAATTTAACTCATCAACCTATACAAGAACGACAGCATGTTACAGAGGCACATCAACTTCCCCTCGCATGCAAAAAGCCGGGCAGACTCAAGTTCTCATTTTTGTGGGGTATTTCGGAAAAAAACACAAAATTGTTTGGTATTGAACTTTGATGAGGGATTTGCAACAAATATAAAACGAATGAACTGGTTCTTCTATTCATAAGTTTCATGAATTTCATCCTGCATTTTATGCAGGTGAATTTGGTAGATTAAATAATTCTCGGAAGTCTGCAGTTAATTTAGGGCAATTCGAATCTGCATGTCGCGTATCGATTCTGGGTGTTTTTTTTTGTTTTTTTTTTTTTTGAAAGTTTTATAGACTTTTTTTTGAACCGACCAAGTTTTCGAGCGCCCCAGAACTGTAGCGGACCGTAAGACCGTATTTCAATTTAAAAAAATTTTTACCGCAAAAAAAACAGGTCAAAAAAGCCGTTGCGTTTTTTTGGCGCGCGCTCCCCCTCAAAATTAGTATATATTGGCGTCGAAAGTGCTTTTAGAAAAATTTTAGGGTCGCTTAGTCAAAAAAAAATGGATTTCTTAAAAAGTACCAACGGGGGACCCATTGGGTCGGCAGACGGTAGAATCCGCCCTTAAATCCACCCCAGCATATATATATATATATATATATATATATATATATATATATATATATATATATATATATATATCAGGGGCGGATTAAGGGATGGGGAGGGGGCTGGGGCGGACGCCCTTCTTCTCTCAGGGATTCGACCCCCTGCCGACTTTGGTACTTTTTAAGAAATCCATTTTTGGCCGACCGACCCTAAAATTTTTACTATATACTAGTATATACTAATATACTAAAATCTACTAACTTTGAGGGGGAGCGCGCACCAAAAAAACGGCGTCTTTTTGGTGCTTTAGGAGAGCTCGGAAAATCAATTTGGTCGACCTACAAAAAAGGTCGTCAAAATTTTCGAAAATACATAGCGCAGTAGAGGAAAAGCACAAAAGTCAAATCGGGAACAGTGGAACCTGATCTAAACTACATTTTATGATTGGATAAATTAGATATTTTACCAATGTAAAGTATTTAATAATAACCAATCATGATCCATCTAACTAACAACCCACTTATTTGTAAGTGCTGGAATTACTTGTAATTTCAGCACCAGAGAGATTTGAATTTAACTTAGAAATTAGTTGGACTCTCCCGAGCACTTCAGCAGCCGCAATAAACCAGTATACCCTAGATCTATTGAGCCTAGCAGAGACTAGTTAAACAACCTGAGACTAGATAGTATAAGAGTAAGATTAGGATCGGTATTAGACTAAGAAGTTGCACGAATCTATCCGGCCGAAAATAAGATAGCGTGACGAGCAGACGGTGTACCCTATCCGAAATTACTCTATGAGTTATACACTCCAGTCCTAACTCATCTGGTGCGACCATAAGTCTCGAACAAGACCTTAATAGCTTAGAATTAACCAAAATAGATTAGAAATTAGACAAAAACATTTACAAAATGTTATACGACAATAATTTAATCGAAATGTCTCTACGACTCAATAGATCAGAGCCAATATTCCGAACCATAACAGAACTACCCGGAATTGGAAGAAGACCTCGAACCAGAGACGACATACGACAAAGTAGAAACTTGCCATATAGCTATATGATAGTTAGGCAAAAACCAGAACAAACTTTTATATTTAGAATACTACTGGCAATGAATTTAGATTTTCATTTGCAAACATAAAACCTTGAAGTTAATCTTCAAAATCATTTCAGGCGCTAAACAAAATTATTAATATACAATAACGATTGATAAAAAGATCTAAGATC